AAAAGAAAAGAAAAGAAAAAGTTATTTCTGAGAGGAGATGGAATCAAATAATGTGGATATTCATATGCCACAAAGTATCTAAAAATATGCCAATACTAGAGTCTCCAACAAAAACATTTCTCTTATTAATCTTAAATATGGAAAGAACAAAGATTTTTTTTACCATCTGCACAACCACAGCCCACATAGAGGAAGGCTGGGAGCCCAACTGATAAGTAAAATATCTCACCACATGCTGGCTGGTGTCAGGGTTCCAATCTTCCTGCTCCAACTTTCAGGACAACAGACTGGTTTGGGGGATCCTGCCAAATTGAAGCCAAATTGAAGGGGAGTCTTAGAGAAACTTGTCCTTTTTCCCTAGGTTGGTTCACTGAAAAGATCAACTCATAGTTATAGTAGATTAATAAGAGAAAGTTTTATTTCCAAATACCATGTGCATGGGGAGGGGGGATTGCAAGAATGATTTCCCAAAGTTTCTGTGATAGTTAGTGGCCTTTAAAGATGCCTTTTAGAAGGGTAGGGGGTGGGAAACTGGAAAGTATACATAGAGCAAGTGATTGCTAAGGGGGGAAGGGTAGCTGGAGGGAAAACAGATTGATTTGTGAATTAACCTGAGAAACAGGTATTGTGCTTCAAATGACTTTATCACAGGTCTCTTAGCATGTGATAAGGAGTCTAGCAGCCCTTTAGGATAGAGGAAAATCTTGATTCAGAGTTCTCTGATTATGAATAGCCTTTAATTTAAAATAATCTTTATACCAAGGAATCATATTTTGGGATGAAATTTTCTTAGCTCCTTCACTCTAAAGGTGCTGCCTCATCCCTTGTGGGTAAACTTTGTAATCTGCCATCTCTGGTTGTGTTTTTCTTTTTGAGAGAATACCTAGAAGCAGAATTACCATGTCAAAGGGAGAGAAAAAATTTTACTGTCCTGGGACATAGGTACTATTGAGAATTCAGATAGATATGCCCTAAATTCAGACAAGATCTGAGGATTTAATCCACTGGAAGTTTATAGCCTAAGGGCACAAGAGCTACACCTTTAATTAAAAATCCCAGGAGCTGCTGGTCTGGGTACAGTGGTGTTTATGACTAATTGATCACAACCAATTATAGATTTCTTTGTTCTCCTCTCCCACTGCTTCACTTAACTATAAAAAAAAAAAAAATCCCAGGAGCACCCAATTAGTGTCCCTCAGAGGTGATAACTGGTTAGAGAACCCGAGAGAAAGAAATATCAAGTGGCATGACTTGTGACAAAAACAGCAGCCATTTATATTTTGTCTGCCAAAGCCTTTCTCAAGGCTTCCTGGGAAGCTAGGCTTCTTTGGAAGAGAATGCCCAGCCAGTGTGCTGTCCAGCACCAAGAGCTGTGGGCCAGTGTCCTGAGAGTATCTCTGTGTGCTGCTTAGTGTCCTTCTGAGCTGTGTGCCTGCCCTCAGCTCACCAGATCCAGGAACTCTCAGGGCATGCTTTGAGTACCCATGGGATGTTATTGTTGGTAGCATCTCCGAATTTACCCCCATCAAAAAGTATACCCTAGTCCATTTCACATTGAAACCGCTAGTACAGAACCCTGCTGTGTGAGTAAGCAGGAGGGGCAATGGGAGAGGGGACGAATTTTGTGGGCATTTAGGTAAATTATGACAGATAGTCACACTTCGAGTGATATTTAAAACACTTTTTTATGGAGCACAAGTCCCTGATGACTTCCAGTATAGCCTAGTGTGTGTTTTACTTAGGACACTCTTGTTGCCTTTTATATAAAGTTGGAATCTACACATCTTTAAGAATCACCTTCAGATAACAGTGGAAGTGATTTGTTGCCTACATATTTAAAAATTCACTTCACCCATCTTGTGACTTCAGGGATAGAAATATAAGTAACTCACAGGCAGTGTCTGGGATGTCAGCATGCCCCATGGGGGAATTCATATTGCAGTGGCTCTTTGTGAGAACGATCAAGGAGTTATCTGAGCTCTGGGTAGATCTGGTCTTGTGAAGCATGATGACTGGATACACAGCAGGAGCTTGTTTTTACAGTGTGAAGCCACATCTGCTGAGCTTAATGCCAGGTATTCTGCTGGGATTGGGGCCAATTTGCAACTTTATATTCTCTCTACACTTTGTGTTGCCCACACTGACTGTGGGGAACTCAGCCATGACTGTCACCTGCAGTGCAGCACATTGGGTAAGAACATGGGCTTTGTGCATAGGTTGCCGGGGTTCAAATCTCACTTCTGACTCTTGTTAATATCGTAACTTGGGGCAGTCATATGTGGAATGGTAACTCTGAATTTTTATTCCCAGAATGTGTGTAATAGTAAGTCATCTTCATTGGGTTGAGATGGAGGTAATTGAATTAAATCAGATAAAGTTATAAGGACTGAACGTTCCTTCAAGTCCAGACCCTGAGTCCTTTTCTTCTCTGAAAATGTTTGGGAAGCCTCAAGGTTGTTCCTAGTGCTACTCAAAACTCTTACATCCTCTTGTCATGTGACATTGTGCAAAATAGGCTTGTTCCTTGCTTTTCTTGTTCTCTGTAGTATGGGATTACATTGTATGGTATATAAAAATGAAGAGAGATATTAAATGGTATTTAGGTAGCACCTACCCCTTTGGTTGGTCCTCAGAGCTGACCTCAATCAATAGGACATCATTTTGCTTATTGGGTTTTGTGTTATCACTGCTTTTCTCATAGATGTTCTCACTGAATAGTTTAGGCAACGTCATTTCCATTGTGTCTTCAGGATTATATTCCTTGAGAAATACTAAATGATATAACCATCTAACAAGTTAGGTTTCCAATGCTAACAATCCATTATCAGTGGTTACAAATAATTCATTAACAGATAACTCAGTATATGATGTTGCAAAATTACTTGTAAACATCATGGAGAGTAGGAAAATGATGTGCTCTTTGAGAAAAATCTGTACATTAGATTCTCCTTGGCCTTGATATTGCCAGGCTAACCCCACATCGCTGTAATTAGAGGGATTCAGGTGTGATTTGGGGAACCTACCCCTTTCTTGTTCCCATGGATCTTGGGCCAGAAGAAGTGTCTCCAGCTCACTTTTTTGGCACTTTGATTCCAGCTGTATTTCTCTAGACAAGTGAAGGTGTCAAAATATTCACTCAGCCACTAAATCACCCCTATTGAATATTAAAAAGCTGAAGGTGGAAGAACTTCTCTAAAATATCACAGATAATGTCCCCATATCACTTCTTGTTAGTGCTCTGAGTCCATCAAATAACAGATTTTATAGTTTCTACTATAAAGATCTGTGATTGTCTTCTGTTGAAAAGTTTGTCTGAATGGCTTTGGTGTGTAAGAGAAGAGGAAGACCCACGTTGTTTCTCTGGATGTTTTCTGTTGCTGATTAAGCTTGGGCATGCTTTTATTTTCCCATTCTCATATTATTTTACCAAATCCAACTTAGGAAACCCTTGCTTAAGTTGTCCTATGTGGTGAGCATGAGTTGTGCTCTGACTAACCAGCAGCAGGTTCTGTCACCACCCGTGTCTGTTGAGCAGACCCCCAGAATATCACAAGACAATGTATGCATGACACAAAGGCAAATAGACAGCTGTCCCCAAAAGGGAGGGCAGTTCATGAAGGTGAGTTAGAGTATTTGTTTTTGAGAGTTTGAAGTTGGTTTAAGTGGAACCCCCCCAGGCGGGGACTTACTTAGGCTTGAGTAGGAATCAAACTGTAATGGTCTGCGATTGGTGAGAAAGAAGGGTGAGTGAGTCATTTGATGTAATGAGTTAAAACATATTGAACTATAAACAGTTGTTAGATGATCTGTGTTGAACCTGTGTGTGGTTCAGAAAGTTCCTAGGATAAACAGGGCTCCTTGCCACATGTGTTATGTGGTGCAAGAGGTCCCCAGAATAGTGAAGTTGTGGGGCAGGCAGACCTGCAAAATCATGCCAAAGTCGATGACCTGCTGTGTGTGGCTGTTTTTTTATTCTCTCCTTGCTTAACAAGGTTTGCTCATCTGGAGAACACTTGAGGTAGATGCAATTGCTATGGTCATCCCTTTGGTCACTATTGTGTCCCAACCTCAGGGGCAGTGAATGGGGTGCCTGATGTGTTTTTTGTTCCTATTAAGATTTTCAGAAAGAACCTTGCAAGGGGCTCAGAGCTTTGTGCTGGCCATTGAGGAGATCAACAGAGACACCAGTCTGCTTCCCAACCTCACCCTGGGGTTCTCCCTTCGGGACTCCAAGGACATGGAGTCTGTTGGTCTTCAGGAGACGATATACCTGGTCTCAGGTCACAAGCACCCCATTCCTAACTATAACTGCTGGGCCAGCCCTTCTCTGGCAGCAGTGATTGGAGTGACACGGTCGGCTCTCTCCATCCCAATGGCAAGATATCTGGGACTTTACAAAATCCCCCAGGTGAGTGGCACTGAAACTCTCAAGTGTGTGCTTCAGCACATCAGTACTAAGGCATCTTTGGCCTTCTCAGTTACCTGCAGTGAACCAGATTCCTTTCAGTCTCCTGTTCTTAAACCACAGTCTTCTCCCAATAGGAAAGCTTGACAGAAGGATGAAGGGTTAGTTGTGAAGGGATAAAACAGAATAAGAGCTTAAATGGGTGTTATTGTTTTATTTTCTTAGGTGATGGGGTCTCCCTGTAAGGTCCAGTCTGGTCTCAAACTCCTGGTCTCAAGCAATCATGGGACCTCCTCCTCCCAAAGAGCTGGGATTGCAGGCATGAGCCACTGAAACTGTCATATTGTTGCCCTCTTGCCCCTACTTCTGATATTGCTGCTGTAGTTTTACTCTGCTTCCTCCTCCCTTTCTTCCTCCTTTGCTACCTCTTCTTCTTCTTCCTCCCTGTATTCTTCATTACTTTTCTCCTTCATCTTCTCCTCTTTTTCTTATATTATTATTATGGGAAGTTTTGTTTACAACACAATAAAATAGAAGACATTCCAGTAAAGTATTATATCCTGTGGTCATTGATATGTCAACTTTTCAAATTCTTGGGTAATAGTTCAACCTTTTAGCTTGGTGCCTGTAGCTCAAGCGGCTAAGGTGCCAGCCACATACACCAGAGCTGGTGGGTTTGAATCTGGCCTGGGCTTGCCAAACAATGACAGCTACAACCAAAAAATAGCCAGATGTTGTGGCAGTCGCCTATAGTCCCAGCTACTTGGGAGGTTGAAGCAAGAGAATCACTTAAGCCCAGGAGTTGGAGCTTGCTGTGAACTATGATGCCACAGCACTCTACCAGAGCAATAGCTTGAGGCTCTGTCTCAAAAAAAAATAAAATAGTTAAACCTTTTCTAAAAGGTAGTGTTTATATATCACCATCATAAAGTTAATTAGAGTGGTTGTATCTGTTTAACAAGTAATTCTGAAGCTCCTAGAATCCTTCTAACTGATTTTTATTTTGGAGAATCTGTGATAGAGAGAAATGGCACCTTCCATCCATCTTGTATAGAAATTTCTGAAGCCATGTGATCCACTCCTATGTGTCATCTGGAGAGTAGAATGAAAATGCTTCCCAGGGAGACCTGAGGGGGAAGCACGAGTGGATACTCTGCTCTCTGAGGGCTCCTAACTCAGACAGAGATCTGTACTCACATTGTTGGCATGATCCAGGTTTGGAAGGACAGGCAGCTTTTATTTTTTTGAGACAGAGTCTCACTTTGTCTCCTTTGGTAGAGTGCCATGGTGTTATAGCCACAGCAACCTCAAACTTTTGGACTCAAGCTATTCTCTTGCCTCAGTCTCCCAAGTATCTGGGACTACAGGCACCTGCCACAGTGCCCGGCTATTTCTAGAGATGAGGTCTTTCTCTGGTTCAAGCTGATCTCAAACCTGTGAGCTTAGGCAATCCACCTGCTTTGGCCTCCCAGAGTGCTAGGAAAATATAGGCATGAGCTACTGCGCCTGGCCTAGAAGGCAGCTTTTAAAAAGAAAGATGGACAGGTGAACACCAAGAGCAGGAACTCTGCCTTCTGAAATTATTTGGTCTTATCAGGTAGTTCAGTAAATATTAGGGAAAGCTAGTCCTTCTTCCTATCTGATGGGACTGTGTTCACTGACATATAAATGGTATGTGCTAGTAGAGGAGAGAGAACTTTTATTATAATTGTATGTATCTTCATTAAATATGTGAAGTCTTTATCTTTAATACCTAGTACCTGTCTCAAGATAAAGATTTTTTGACACAGCACATGAATCTATTTTCCTACATGTCCACATTGACAAAGATGTCAGTTTTTTTGCTTTGTTTTCAAGCAAAACTGTATCAAGGGATTTCTCTTTAATTCTTTATATTGATAATGATTTCTCCACCATCCTTACTCTGTTGAGTTTCCTTCATTTTCTTCCATTTCCATCCCACAAGAGTCTCCTCTCCCTCCAGGTGAGTTATGCATCCAGTGCAATCACACTCAGTGACAAGACCCAGTTTCCATCCTTCTTCCGGACTATTGCCAGTGATCAAGCCTACTTCATGAGCCTGAGCATGGTTCTGACCCACTTTGGATGGAAATGGCTGGGTTTGGTAGCCCAGGACGATGACTATGGCCAGCAGGGGGGTAACTTGATCAGTGCAGAGTTGTCAAAAGTCAAGGTGTGCCTTGAGTTCAGTGTGACATTTCCCACATACCCATCCAATGTGCAAATTGCAAACACCATGAGGGTGTTGATGGGATCCACTACCAAGGTCATCATGGTATTTATAACCAGTAGGATCTTCTGCCTGATGTTACAGACTTTCTCAGAACATTATGTGGCAGGGAAGCTCTGGGTTAGCCAGTTTACTGAGCAGAGTGATCATAGCATCACCACACCTAACACCTTTCAGATTCTGCAGAAGACGTTCAGTTTTATAGACCACGACATGATGGAAGAGCTTTCTTCATGCTTCAATCTCAGTCAACCAACAAGCACCCAGGAAGACATGTTCTTAGGCAGGTTTTGGAACAGCAATTTCAAATGTGAGTGGGCAACCAGTTGGGCATTACTAAGAAAGATGAAGAAAATTCAGTTTTGTGCAGGAGCAAGTCAGAAGAGTACAAACATCCCTTTCTTGACATTGAGTCATGTGGGCATGTTCTTTAACACCTATGAGGCTGTGTACAGCGTGGCACATGCACTTCATGCCATGAAACTGGATGGTGACCTCTTGAGGACAATGAGTCCTACTGAGGTTCAGAGATCCCATCAGCCCTGGAAGGTAAGAGACAGACTTATCCTTTCAGGGCAAATGTATATTCATCTCATTAGGTAGGGGGCAGCAAAGATCTCTGATTCTTCTATTAATGTGACAAGGGGACAATAATGTTTGATCTCATTACTCCTTTTGGATGTGTAATATGTGCCAGATTATCAGATAGCTCTTGCCACAGAAATCTGCATAATCGATGTTTTTTTTTTTGTGTGTGTGTGTGTGTGGTTTTTGGCTGGGGCTGGGTTTGAACTCACCACCTCCAGCATATGGGGCCAGCGCCCTACTCCTTTGAGCCACAGGTGCCACCCCATAATTGATGTTTTAATCTCAGAAAGGTCATTGATAGTGAATCAGTGAAAAAGTAACAGGTTGTTATACTCCAATGTGATACATGCCAAATACAAGTGAGGAAAAGGAAGGAACTGGATGATTCATTCTATCCATAAATGTTTTGTGAGCATTTCATGTTTTCAGAACAGTTAATAAAACTCAAGAGACCTTGTGCGTATAGAACACAATTATAAGAAGGACTCTACCTAACAGATTTGAAATTGTGACTTGATTGTGTGTACCCTGATATTGACCTGAAAAAAACAAAAAAAAATCTCAAGAGCGGACCAAGGACATGGTGGCTAAAGTCTGTAATCTTAGAGCTTTGGGGGTGGTGCCTATGGCTCAGTGAGTAGGTTGCCGGCCCCATACACCAAGGGTGACAGGTTCAAACACGGCCCCAGCCAAACTGCAACCAAAAAATAGCCAGGCGGGTGCCTGTAGTCCCAGCTGCTCGGGAGGCTGAGGCAAGAGAATTGCTTAAGCCCAGGAGTTGGAGGTTGCTGTGAGCTGTGATGCCACAGCACTCTACCAAAGGCAATAAAGTGAGACTCTGTCTCTACCAAAAAAAAATATCTTAAGAGTTTTGGATGGCTGAGGTGGGAGGACCACTTGAACTTAGGAATTCAAGGTCAGCATGGGCAACATCATAAGATCTCATGTCTACAAAAGAATAAAAATGTTACCCAGGCATGGTGGTGCATGCCTGTAGTATCAGCTACTCAGGGTGCTGAAGCAGAATCTTCATTTGGAGTAGAATGTAGGTCAAAAGAGGGCTTCTACCTTATAATCAAAAACCAGATATCTTCTAAATTTCTTTATTTTAAATAGCATACCTAATTTCTTACAAGTAAAAGCTCAGAAAGACAGGCTGGGTAGGGCCATTCCAGACTCAGTGTCTCATGAGCTCTGATATCCACAGCTCCTGCCATACTTTAGGAAAGTCCACTTTACAACTTCTCATGGAAAAGAAATTCTCTTTGATGCCAATGGAGATATACCAACTAAGTATGAAGTTCTTTATGGAAAAGAGCTTCCAGAACATTCCTTTCAGCTTGTGAATATTGGCCGTGTTTATATCAGTACCTTAGGAAAGACAAGGATAGTCATCAACCAGAGTGCCCTTGGGGGCCTGAGAGGGCTGATGCAGGTAAGGAAGCAATGACTCTTACTTGGCTTCTCTTACTTGTTTGTTTCACTGTCTCTGATCTTTCTTCTTTTCCACAGCCACAAAGTCTAAACAGTGCTAAGCTCAGTCAGTAGTGCTACTATGCACTGGCATGAATACATTTCAATAATAGATTTTTAGCTCATGTTTTAAATAAACTTATGTAGTACCTAGGTGGATGATATATCTGTTCCCCTCCTCCACAAAGGGATTTAAAAAACATTTCTGTGAGGCATCAATAAATGTTAACTTCTGGGTGTTATGTCTGAAGTCAAATCCTTTGCTTAGGCATCTCAGACTGTGCAGATAGTGAAAACAGAATGGTGATTAAGGGAGTCATGGTCAAGAACATAGTTAGTCATGCATATACCCCAGAGCCAAGGCGGAAGCAGACAGACCTTCCCTGTCAGTGAATTACCAGCAGAAAGAATTTCTTTCACATCCTTGTTGACCTGCAAGGAAAGACATTAAGGGGCCTGGATTGCTGTGGAGACATGGTCTTGTGTTCACGTCTCAGGCACAGAGTCTTTCTTATCTATGTCTTGCCCACTAAAACCACAAGTCCAAGTTATGAAAACCTGCAATCCTCTACCTTAATGTTTTCCACAGATCTCTTTCCCCCTTGAACATCATGGTTCATGGATATGAAGACTGTAACAGCTTAGTGTCATTTTCTCACCTTGAGTAAAGCTGATGAGAAAGAAAGATAGGATAGTGAAAATGTGTTTGGGGGCCGCACCTGTGGCTCAGTGGGTAGGGCACTGGTCCCATATACCGAGGGTGGTGTGTTCAAACCCAGCCCTGGCCAAACTGCAACAAAACATTGTGGTAGGTGCCTGTAGTCCCAGCTACTTGGGAGACTGAGGCAAGAGAATTGCCTAAGCCCAGGAGTTGGAGGTTGCTGTGAGCTGTGATGCTACGACACTCTACCAAGGGCGATAAAGTGAGACTCTGTCTCAAAAAAAAAGAAAGAAAGAAAGAAAGAAAGAAAGAAAGAAAGAAAATGTGCTTGACTTTTTGAAACACAAAAAGTATCCTGACTTCCAGTCATTTGTTAAAAACTTTCCTGATTATTTAAGCTTATTGGTCTTGATATATCTCTTAGTTGTAGCCAAAATATCCTAACTTACAGCCCTAACTCCTACAAAGAGGAGAATCAAGAGAGTTGTGACAAGGAAGAGTGATTTTGAGATTGTTACTCTCAGACACACAACAATCTAAATTCAGGACTCTGTTTCCCCAGCTTCCTCGCTCCGTTTGCAGTGAGAGCTGCCCTCCTGGGTCCAGCCTGGTCCCACGGCAAGGCTGGCCTCACTGCTGCTTTGAGTGCAGCCCCTGCCCAGAGGGACACTTTGCTGATAGAACAGGTGAGAGGAAGACTTGAAATTCATTCTCCTGAATCCTGAGATTCAACTCATGTGTTTTGGGGCAACTTTATTCCTCAGATTTTTAGAGACCACCATCCTCCAGATCTGTGTCGGCCCCCACATAGGAGTGCCCAAATCCTTAAGCACACATTCATGTCTCTACTTGAGAAGTAGCAAGTTTTGTCTGTCCAATTTGGATTTGGATGGAAGAGGAAAATATGCTCAGATTTTCGCCAAGATACTAGTAGGAGACAATCTCCAGGAAGAAGTCTGCAGGGTAGTGTGGTCGGGTATTGGGCTGTATGTCTCTACAGCATAGGTAAGCAAACTAAGCTTTCAAGCAGCTGGGTCCCACGTTCTTTCACATATATTCTGTAAGGGCTTTCAGTCTTAAAGCAGCTAACTTGAATAGCTGCCAGAGACACCCCCACCCCTGCGGTTTGCAGAACTGCAAACATTTACTACCTGGTCCTCTATGGGAAAATCTTGCTGTTGTCTATCCTAGAAAGCTAGTGCAGCCTGTGGCTACCTACAAAGGAGTGAGAACAGTGCCAAGTTCACATGTCTCCTAAGGCCTTCTTGCATTTCTTCCTGTGTAGAAGGAATTCCCTGTAGGGATTTCTGCACCCCTAGCACAATGTGTCACCTTCCAGCTCCCTCCTCTCTTGTGCATTTCATATTCTGGGAAGTTTAATCATAAGAGAGGTATCAGAAAGAGGGAGAGGAAATATGGACCATATTGGCTAGCTCAGAAAATGTCTTCAATGTGGCCCAAGAGTGGACGGGCTGGACATTGGTCTGCCCAGTCACTGGCTATTATGTGAGGGTGTAGGTGGTGGTGAGAGGGTAGTGGAGCATTCAGGCTTGGAGTTATATTTCCCAGAAGTTCCCTTCATCTGGTGCTTATTTTCCCTCTTGTAACATCCTCTGCCTGAGCTTTTGGCTGAAGTTATCTTTCTCTTCTACCTGGTTTCTTGTGGAGCATACAGGAACATGTTAGTGGGGTCACCCTGAGAAGGTGCAGCAGGTGAGAGTGGCTTACCAGGAGCCCCCCAGAGTTTAGTTACCTCTTCCTGTCATTCCTTGTGCCAGCTTGGCCTCCTGGATTCTACACACCTGGGATAAGAGTCCAGCAAAGCATGCACTATTGCAGTTCCCAGGCACAATGGCATGATTATCTCCTAGGATACATCCCCTATGTTTATTTTGCCAATGTTAATGTCCCCATCAGTTAAGTCAGAAGCATTCTTGACCAGGCATTCACAAAATAACCAGAAACTATTTCCATGTGACTTAGCACCAGATCACAGCACAATACCATTCCATTCTCCTCAGAACTTCCACCAAGGTCAAGTCAAACAGAGGATCTGCTTCTGGAAGGAGTGTGCTCCCCTGCATGCGTTTGCACATTGTAAAGTACATTATGTGAGGTTACATCTCTGGGGGTCTGGGGCCTGGTTCACATACCACAGCTCAGAGCCCTACTGGGATTACTGTTTTGTCTTTGGCCCTTTCTGTCAGAGTTAATGTTGATATGATAATCATAACCTAGAGGAGAATAAATGAGATTATGCAGGAAATTGCATAGAACAGAGTTTTCCCTGCAGTGTTGGATAAAGGAATTTGGTTGAGAAACAGGGACTTTCTCTACTTAATGGCTGTGCAATTGTCCAAATCAAGTAGTTGGCATTGATAGGTCACTACCACCTAATTTTCACACCCTCTTCAAATTTCACCAGTTGTGTGTTGTCTCAATGAAATCTTTGATAGCAAAGAGATTTAGTACAAAATGAAGTGTCACAGCTAGTTGTCACATCTGTGTCCATTTCTTGCACAACAGGCATTAGGAATGATGGGGACTGTAATTACAGAGTATGCTGTCTTTCTAAAAATGAACTTATTTGCTTGGGTCTCTCATGGCTTTGCCTGTTTGAAAAATACAAAGTAGTTCCTTCGTGGAAAGTTCTACTGTTTCTTCACCATCAGATTCTGGGTCTAAATAGCTGGCAGGAGCAGCCCAGGAGCAATAACCTGGTGTTTTTCCTGGCACAGGCTCTCAGATGTGTTTGATGTCAGTTTGTCCCGGGATGACCATGTTTCCTTTGAGCACTTGATTAGCAGGCCTTTCATGGGCCTCTGCACAGCAGAGTTGCTGTTTTCTGTTCTTAAGGTACTAAATATTTTGTGGGGAGACATTGTAAAACAAAGTATCTCATTGCTCATCAAACCTGCAATGAATTCACATACTTAATTACATTAGTATGAACTTGCATTTCCTATTTCATTCAAGGGGTTCTATTCTGTTGCTCCCATTCCTTCAGCACTCAAGTCCTACCAGACTCAGGCAGTGGGAGCCTCCTGGGCTGCCCTCTGGGTTCTTTCACCTCAACCCATCAGAGTTGGGGTTCTTCTGTACTTCTAAGTACAACCACCAACATATTTCAGATTCACTTGCATTTTTCCTGCCCAACCTTTGAGTTGCTGTTTTCCCAGGAAGCTTTGGGTTCTTTTAGTGTGAAATGGTGATTTAGAAACCAAGATCTATGGACTGAACATGTTTATTGATAATAGCTAGGCAAGAGGGGGTGTTGCTAGATCACTCCTTCAGGACATTGTTGGTGAAGGCAGGTCAGGGTTATGAGTATGTGTAAAAATTCACATACATCTGCACAAGTGCACGTGGCTGGCATTCTAGCCCAACATGGGTCCATTCTACTGTTCACTCTTCTATATTAGTAAATCCCATCTCTGGACAGGAGAATCCTGGCTCCCCCATCCTTAACACATTTAGGTATCAATCCCGTTGTTTCTGTGGCCCACCTTCCACCATATTATAAGTCCCCTTCACCTAGGTTGTTCTCTTAATGCCCACGCCCATGGTCCAAGTGGAGGCCCTCTGGATCCCACATGGTCAGATGCCTCTGCCAGGATGTTCCTCATGTGATTGTCCTCACCAGACTGTCTGGACCCTTATCCTATAGGGCAGTCATTCTCAACCTTCCTAATGCCACAGCCCTTTAATACAGTTTCTGTGGGTTGTGACCCACAGGTTGAAAACTGCTGCTCTAGGGCAACCCCCTAGCAGATACCATCCCATCTTCAAGTTGCTGGGACACCACCACCACTGAAAGCTCCCTCTCTAAGTGAACATGCTCCTCAGGCTGCACAACTTCTTGGCCACACTGGCCATCTGTCTACCCAGATGCCCTCCTTGCTCTGCACACTCACCACTGTTAGTTTAGTACATTCACAGAATTGAAAGGCAGGACAGAGGGGCAGGGAGGGGAAGACTAAGAACGAAACCAAGAACTGCATGCCTAATTATCAGAAGCCAGAGGGTACTGAGTCTGACATATGCCAGGCCATTGGGATAGTGTTGCTCTTTGTTTCCATACTCAGTGTCATTTTTGTTGAGATATGTGTTTCCTATTGTGACTGGCATCAAATGACTATAGTAGCTACAACCTTTGCTGTTCTGATGGTGCTGGATGTCTTTCTGCCATTGACCATTCTTGGTCCTCAGGTCTATGTTTTCTCTGGTCAGTGTTTGGTCCATGTGGTCACAGAAACTGAAGATAATTGATATCCCTCACTACATGTGGTTATCCTCATCCTGCCACATGACCTCATGAGATATCTGCATTTGTCTACCTCTCCATGTGAGGTCACCAGAAGGGCAGGTGATACTAGAGATAACTCACATCTGGGTTAAGGGCTTCACTTCAGTGTGGCCTCTGAGGGTTTCCCTTACCCAACTGTGATTTCACATTTTATTGACAGCGATGGATATGTAGTTGGACTTCCATGACCATGTTTCCACATCTGTTCATTCAATGAAGTGTGGATGGAAAATATTTTTTAACAATATAAAATAATGCTAATAAAAAAGCAATGGAATATAACAACTATTTAAATAACATTCACATTGTATTATTAATAAGTAATCTAGAGTTAATTTAAATAAATGATAGGATATGTGTGGCTTATATACAAATACTATACTATTTTATATAAAAGACTTGAATATTTAAGAATTTTGGTATCTGCAGGGGTCCTTGAACCACCCCCCATGGACACCAAGGGATGAAAGATAGGAAGATTTTGTATGTGGAATTAGACAGCAAGATAGATACAGAGTGATAGAACCATAATTCTTTCAAATATTATAGGATGACTTTTTCTGGGATACTGTGTCCCCAACATTATTAGAAAAAGTGGTGACTTCTTTACGTTTTCCTTTAAAACACTCATGTTCACACTTAAAACAACCAAATGATCTCTGAAAACTGAGCTATGGTGGTGAAAGCCCTGGCGAGGGAATCTCACTGTGTGGTGCCCTGTAAAGAGTAATGATGCCCTTTTGTTCCTTTCAGATATGGAACAGTGTACACTCTGCCCTGAAGGCCACTACCCAGACAAGAAAAGGGAGCACTGCTTTCCCAAAGAGGAGGCCTTCCTGGCCTTTGATGAGCCCTTAGGTCTGGCTCTGGCATGTGTGGCCTTGTCCCTGTCAGCCCTCTCGGTGCTGGTCCTTGTTGTGTTTGTGTGGCACCGGGACACCCACATAGTGAAGGCCAACAACCGGACCCTGAGCTACACCCTCCTGGTGTCCCTCATGCTCTGCTTCCTCTGCTCCTTGTTATTCCTCGGCCGCCCCTCCCTGCCACCTGCCTCCTCCGACAGGTCACATTTGCACTTGGGTTCACTGTGGCTGTGTCCTCTGTTTTGGCCAAGATGCTCACTATGGTCATGGCCTTCCAAATGACAAGGCCAGCAAGCAGGACCAGAAGGTGGCTGGGTCCCCAGAACACACATTCTATTGTGCTCCTTTGCTCCCTCATCCAAGTGACCCTCTGTGGGATCTGGCTGGGGACTTCTCCTCCCTTTCCGGCTGAAGACTCATGGACACCCAACCACATCCTCCTCCAGTGTGATGAGGGTTCCATCACTGCCTTCTACTGCGTCTTGGGCTATCTGGGCTTCTTGGTCCTGGGCACCTTTGCTGTTGCCTTCCTGGCAAGGAACCTGCCTGACACCTTCAATGAGGCCAAGTTCCTCACCTTCAGTATGCTGGTGTCCTGCAGTGTCTGGGTGGCCTTCCTCCCCAGCTACCACAGCACCCAGGGCAAGGCTATGGTGGCTGTGGAGGTCTTCTCCATTGTGGCCTCCAGTGCTGGGCTGCTTGGCTGCATCTTTGCTCCCAAGTGCTATGTGATCCTTCTTCATCCAGAGAGAAACACCCTCCAGGCTTTAAAGAGGAAGCCTGAGAAAGCACACCAGAAGGACCCCATGATACATGAATTGCATAGAGCAGCGGTTCTCAATCTTCCTAATGCCACAACCCTTTAATACAGTTCCTGTGGGTTGCAACCCACAGGTTGAGAACCACTGGCATAGAGGGACTCTGATGCTTATTCATGGTATGGAATTTGTACAAGAATTGTGTAAAGCGCTCCTGAAAATCAACACAACTTAAACAAACAATATATCTGAGAAAATACAGCAATGAGATACTGCTAAATTACACAGGCAATTTCTATAAGCAAAACCAGTGAGTAAGAATTGGGTAAGGCACGTCTATAAAGCAATAAAATTTAAAAAATCTGAGAAAATTAGCAATGAGATATAGACATGTACTTTGAGAAGCAAAATCTGATTAAGTAGTAAATAAGAATAAGATGATAAGCCTAATTAGTAATGAAAAATGCAAAGTTAAACAATTGTGAAATACCTTGAATACATGTTATCGCTAAATATTACAACTAGCAAAGTTTAAATGAATGTATAGTGTTATATCTTTAGGGCAAGAAACACAGGAACAACACCCGGAAAAGGTTACTTCTAGGGCATACATGGGATTGAGATAGGAATGAAACCCCCCTTTGTCTATCTTTTTATGTAAGTGTGACTTTTGAACCATGTGGAGATTGTGCATATTCAAAAATGAAAACAATGTAGAAGGGAGTGAAACACAATTCATAAAAATGAAAACCAGGAGAAACATATAGATCTAATTATATAAGAAACTGGTAACCTCAGGATCATTTAGGTATCTTCCAAAGTTAGTTTATTGACTTTACACCCTTAAATAACTCACACATAAAATGAATGAGGAGTTCAAGTGTAGCCCAGTCAACACAGCAAGATCTCTAAATTAAATTCTAAAATTAAATTAAATTTCTTTTTCAGAACTGTGAATAAATAATGAATTTTAGGCAGCGCCCATAGCTCAGTGAGTAGGACGCTGGCCACATACACTGAGGCTGGCAGGTTTGAACCTGGCCCAGGACAGCTAAACAACAATGATGACTGCAACAAAAAAATAGCCAGGTGTTGTGGTGCGCACCTGTAGTCCCAGCTACTCAGGAGGCTGAGGCAAGAAAATCGTTTAGGCCCAAGAGTTTGAGGTTGCTGTGAGCTGTGATGTCACAGCACTCTACCAAGGGCAACATAGTGAGACTCTGTCTCCAAAGGAAAAAAATTTTTAATAGCATTAGTTGGTAATGTCATTGGTGAAGTAATATTAGAACTGTTTTGTCTGTATTTGTAGAACAGAACAGATGAGTAGACACATTTCAGGAAGTGAAGGTTAAATGCAGTATGAACTACATATACACAGGGAACAGGGTGGGGTGAGGAGGAAGCATGTAGTGTCTTGAGTTTGTGATTTTAGCATGAACTCCTGATCTATGTTTCAATGCCTAGGAGAAAATATTTACAATTACCATTCCACACTATATAAAAGCAGGGTTTCTTGGAGAAACATGGTAGAGTCAAAGGCCATAACAGAGAAATTATGATGTGAAATTTGAGTATTTTCTTGTGTTAAAAGCAAGGAAGTGCCCCACATCTGGCAGTATAGCCAACTGTTCAACCTAAGGAGATCCCTTTGCTGTAGTTTAAATACTATACAGTGATGCCTCATAATACAGAAATAAAGAATCCCTTATGATGTACAGATACCACAAAAGGATGTAGAGGTGGCAGGTGAAAGAAAAGTTCCCTTTTACAGTATATCCTTTAACTTGAGAGAAACCTGGTCAAATTAGAAAGTCCCCATTTTGCAAACCCCAATCGAATAAATAATTCAGAAAGTAATGATGAAAGGAGACACATCAGGTGGAAGTTAATGAGAACTAGGATGTCCCCATGTTTCCACAGTTCCTGTCTTGAGGTCTTGGTACTTGTTCTCTGTGTGAGTGGAGCCCCTGTGTCTGGTATGAGCTCTTGGAGCTGAGACCTGAGCACAGAGAGAACTTATAGTCTGAAGTAAGAGGTTAAGACAGTCTATGTGTGAATGAGGTATTCCTATGGGTGAAGGGGTCTAGGCATAGAATTATTCCTCCAGTAGGCCACATGTGTCCAGGTTGAGAACCACTGGATGTGCAAAATTTATTTTAAAGATAAAACTTTATTGTACTTCCTTAAATGGAAAACCAGTTTGACCATAAAGAGAAGAGAGTAATAGGTGTAGATATAATAGCGATATACTGAATTTAAAAGAGATTGGTTAGTTTTAGAGCTGTTACAGATATGCTTGCTTCTTCACAAATGAAAAAGACTAAGAGAGAACTGCAACAGGAATTGCTTCCCAACCAGTGATTCAGTGCCGTCAGTGCCTTATTCTTCCATGGTGTGCACCCAGTGGGGTCCTGAAGTCGGTCCATTCCTTTTCTCTTAGAGACCCAGCAGGGGCAACAAACAGAACTTGGCCTGATTTTGCAGCACAATTGGGATAACAAATATTTATAAGCAGTAGTTGAAGGGAGGCCTACATCTAAGAGGAAAAAGATATTATAGAGGCCAGCCACTGTGGCTCACAACTGTAATCCTAGAATTCTGAGAGTGTGAGGTAGGAGGATTGCTTCTTCTCGGGAGTTCAAGACCTGAATAAGCAAGAGTGAGACTCTGTCTCTACTGAACATAGAAAAATTAGCTGGGCGTTGTGGTAGGAGCCTGTATTCTCAGCTACTTGGTAGGTTAAGGCAGGAGGATTGCTTGAACCCAAGTGTTTGAGGTTGCTATGAGCTAGCCTAATGCCATGGAACTCAAGCATGGATGACAGAGGGAGACTGTATCTCAAAAGAAAACAAACAAAACAAGACAAAAAACAAACCCCTAAACAAACCAAAAGAAAAAATACAGTAGAACCTTCATAGCTGACCACCTCTCCACAATGACCCCCTCCTTAAGTTGACCTAATTTTCATAGACAAGACATGGAGCACATGTAGGTGTCAGCACAGTAGACCTAGTTCCTTATGTTGACCACCTCCATATGTTGACCAGTTTGTTACAGTCCCTTGGGTGATCAATTTAAAGAGATTCTACTGTTTTGGTGGAGTAGTTAAAGGCACTCCATTGTGGTTGCTAATCCACCATGTTGACTTCTGATTAATCCCAGTCTCAGGAGTGCCTCCAAGATTTCCACTTCATTTACTGTTCCTTGTGTAAACCAAAAGAACCTTGATATTTCATAGACTAGTACTTACCATAAACACTGCCTTTAGGAAGTGATAGGCTATGACAAAAATAGAGCATTTTTGTCCATCTTTGAAGGTCAACTCTGAATGCTCTGCATGTTCATTCTGGAGCCCATGTACCCGTTCCCTATGGTATGTAAGTTCTGGGTCTTAGGGGTAGTGCTACAGAAGATATCTACCTGTCTTGTGGCCACTTAAGCCCACAATTCTGTCCTTAAGTTCCCCAATAAACCACCTTTTACCAACAAGTTGGATTCGTCTGCCTTGTTCTTTGGTTTCTTAGCTCCTTCTGCAAATAGTATTTGACATCAGAAAGCGAGGGTTCTGGGTGTTGTGTTGTCTGTGGAGACACTAACCTACTGAGTGCAACTTTAGCATGAAAAGCAACCTCAAAGTTTAACTGTGCATCCCTTGGTTATGTTACAGATGGTTCAATGTTGTACCAAAGAGCTTGCCTGAGGAAGCTCTAAGGAACATCAGGGGCAATGCTTATACCAAAGGTAAAATTAAAAGCCCACCATTTCTCACTTAAGGAGTTTGAGGCCAGCCTGAGCAAGAGTGAGACCCCCATCTCTACTAAAAGTAGAAAAATTACCCAGGGGGACAGATTGAGACGGCATCGCCATCCTAGCAGGCACCTGTAGACCCATTTACTAGGGAGGCCAAGGCAGGAGGTTTGCTGGAGCCCATGAATTTTAGGTTGCTGTGAGCTGTGATGCCATAGTACTTTACCCAGGGGGACAGATTGAGACTCTGTCTCAATAGTGATAATAATAATAAATAAACATGCAGGCTTCTATGTGCCAGTGCTTGGTCAGTGTGCAGAGACCTTTGTCCTGACTCACTGGCTCTTCAATCTCTGCCTCCCAGCTTCCCAGTGCTGTAGGTGTGTGTGTTCCTTGGAGCTTCTGATTCGATGACGCAGGGGAAAGAACTGCAAACGGAATGAATCTTCAAGGGAGACCGGGACTCGCTCTGGTCGGTGGCCCGGCTAAATTTTACTGATTATCTTATATACTTTTCAACATTTAGTAAGAATTTAACACATTTACAAAGAAGTCAAGTAACGTGAGGAAGCAACCATTTGAGATTACAATTTAGTGTGAAGGCTGAGGAACGCATATACAATTGATTTTGTTTAGAGTAAAACATTTTGGAGCCTGGCTGTCGGTCCTCGATTGCCCAGGGTAAAGTTACACCTTATAATGCTAATGAAGGAGGAATGCAGAGAATAGAACCCAATGCTGCAAAACCGGTCTTTCCATCCTCCAGCTCATCTCGGCTATTTCTC